GGTTGTCAAAACGTCAGTCACCAACAACAGTTCTTTTCAGAACTACCGTCACCCGGACAATCACACTATACGCACTACTGATACTCCTGGGTTCAAACCATTTACTATGACACTGCACATAGCAGAGGCTACAGCAGACAACATACAAAAATCGCCTTGCTTGAGAAGACACTGTGTATATGTGGACTGAGAGGGAGGGAGGGGGGGGGGGGGCAAGGGAGGGAAGACTCCTACATTGCACCAGACCTCAAGCACACAAGCCAATTTGAGATTATCAGGCTGGGTAGGAAGAGACTGAATGCAGAGCTGAGATGGACTCAGGTAACGGCACCTATTCAAGTAATATATATATATTTTTTTCATACCATTAGTTTGTGAATGTCTTGTTACTTTATTTACAAAATATGACAACATTTCTAGCTTTCTTTCGTGGAAGTGACACCTCCATTTGGAACATGTCCATTTTCAGTAATAACAGGAGCTGCCGGCGGGTCCTCCTCCTTACGTGCCTTTTTAACTGGTGCTTCTGTGTTTTGAGCTACAGTACTATCACCCTCTTCTTCAGGCTTCCTCTAGGGCAAACAGGAAGACCAAAACAGACTGAATACAAAATATTTGTAGGGCATAATTTCCATTAGTGTTGTTTTTGCTTGTCACACAATCTCATCTTAGAGGAAAGATTGCATGACAAGCTATGAGCATTCATTAGTAGCCATCACACTAATTATCAGTTAGGGATGAAGAATGGTAAATGCGAGACTTTGCGAGACAGCAAGACGAGTGTTTTTATCTGCGAGTCTGAGACATTTTGACTTATTAGATTGCGAGACTGAGACTTCAAAGTGTTTTGAGTGCCAGTGTGAGACGTTCAGACTCTTAAAATTCAAGCCCCAGATTTAGCTGAGAGCTAGAATGAGCTTGTACAGCCTTTTAGCCAGCTTCTTCGAGCTGGCTGGAACTGGAAATTCTGGCATTAAAATAGACGTTGTGGTAGGTTTTGTAGCTTTTTGTGGAATTCAGACAATTTAGGAGAAATTAGCATTAACTTTTTCTCAGAAATTTGAAAGTTGCTTCATTGAAATTCAATATCAAGTGACAAGAAGATTTCATTTATAAAAACAGATCATGTAAACAAATCCAGACTTTGAGACCCTTAGCCTTGTGAAAAATCAATACTCCTAGACAGCTTTGTATAAAAATTGAGACTGCAAGACGCATGTACCGGTAACTGCTAAAAAAAAAACGAGACTGTGAGACTCACGAAATTCGACTAAAATTTTGTGAGACCCAGAGATTTTGAAGGACCATTCGCCACCCCTTGAGCAGTGAGTTTTATAATTATATATATACTGTTTTAAAAAAGGATGATTTCTTAGGTAACAATGGAAGTTCACAAGATGGGCAATCTGTAGACTTCTGATCACAATCATTAAATTTTTGTTAACCAATTTCATTTTGAGAGGCATTTCTCCTGACCTTTCTGCGGACTGGTATCATCGTAGCAGGTTGCTTAATTGGTATCTAAACAAGATACAAACAGCATAATGTCATATTATGTCAATCAAAAACATGAAAGTATCAAACCAATAAATCCTAAACCAACCATGCATTAAATCAATATTTTCTTACCGTGCTTGCAGGCACATCACTTTTGCCTTGTCCACTTGACCCAAAGCCCTCTTCTGTAGTTGATTCAGGCTTCAAAAAATAAAAATCCAGAGTTGTAGTGACTGCTCTTGAAAAACGCATTTAATAATTCATCAAGTTTAAAGAAAAGAATTCATGACCATGACAGTGTTTGGATATCCGAGATTTTACAACTTTATTTCTCCATTTTCTCCTCAGATTTAGTTTCTATTGGAAAGATATATATCAAACACTCATGACCATGTTTTGACCAAATTTCCAAACATCTCTATGTTCGTCAAAAATACACCACTACATGTATTTTCACCTCTCTTCTCGGTGTTTGGAAATGTGGTCAAAGACAGTCTTTCGTGTTTGATGTATGATGTCTAATGCATTTCACCTGAGTGCCAGAAGAATTCATCATCTCTTGAGCATCATCAACCTACCAGCAACAAAGAACCAGAGAACTTTATCACAAAATTATGCACCTATTGACTTTAAACTGGAACAAAAGGGAGTTCTCAGCAACTGTTCATTTGTAAGTCCACAATAAGGGAAAAAAGGAAACTAATAGCCCATTTCAGATTTGCCTTAATTAAGCGTCTCTATCAAAGGGAGGCCTGGTGCACAACCAATAGTATGAAAATGAGGGATTATGTGTACTAAAGGCATCTGCAGCCCAGTGTCGATCAATAACCTCGCTCGACACTCAATTGACACTCCATCAACACCTCGGTTGACACTCGATTGGCACTCCATCAACATCTCCGTCGACAGTTGGCCAAGAGTCTACTAATTTTTGAGCAATTCATATGAGTCGCTCGACACTCAGCCAACTCTCTACCGACTGTTGATCAAGTGTTGATACAGTTTTGACCGAGTATCGATCGGGATGTCAGTCGAGAGTACCAATCAACACTTCACAGCGGATGCCTTTAGTACACATGACCCAAAATGAGTTGAACTTGCATGTGAATGAAATCTCATTTGCACATAAAAGGATGGGTACCAAAACTAGAAATAAGCAAGAGGTTAAAGGTAATTTGGAAATGAGAAAATAATAAATTGCTTTAAATTTACTTATTTTAAGGTAATATGAAGCATTGCAGTGTAGTTTAGTTCAGTTTAGTGTATTGTTTTCATGTTTGACTTTTTTCTGTACACTTCTGTACACCAGAGAAATTTGACAATGACAATGTCACAGCCTTATTTCTACGGTTAGGCCTACCATCTACACTAATCTGTCATGAAAACAGAGCTTTTCACACATGGTCTTCAAACCAGAGGAATTTGAAAATACCGGCTTGCTTTCAAGTGTGGACAGAAAACATTTTGAAAACAGAGCTTTTCAAAGAAAATCAAATCACAATGATCACATGATTTCCCTGCACAAGTCTTTCTCAAAAACAAATCCAAAATGGCCGTGATTGTTGCGTTTTGAAACTTCTCCAGCACTGCGTGGACAGAAAACATTTGATGCGTTTTCAAATTTCTCCACTATAGTGTGAATGGGGCCCTTAATTCTACTGTACTGTTTTACTTATGAAATAAAAAATAACCACAGATCAATTTGATCCCAAATGGCAGGATGAAGAAGAGTCTGAGATTATTTTGAAGCATTGTCAAGGAATTGAACTCAGGACATCTGAAAACTATGCCACTAGTACTAGCAAGTGGTTGCAGTGGAGAACTTAAAGCATGGACCACTAATTCCAGTCCAGTGGTCTAACAACTTACATTGTAGCCACATTGCCTTTATCAAATGTATTAACCAACTGGACCATGTGTACTAAAGGCATTTGCGGTCGAGTGTCAATCAATACTCTCAATCGACACCCTTGATCGACATCTCAATCAACACTTGATCAACATCCCGATTGATACTCAGTCAACTCTCTATCCACACTTGATCAACAGTCAGTTGATAGTCGGCCGAGTGTCGACTCTCGACTGACTGTCAACCGAGATGTCGATGGAGTGTTGATCCAGTGTCAAGCGAGGTGTCAATGGAGTGTCATCTGAGTATCAATTGAGGGTATTGATTGAGGGTATCGATTGACGCTCGACTGCAGATGCCTTTGTACACATGATCCAACCAACTTACTCTAGCTTTGATTTCTGGATACACGTTCTGCAACTCTTCAAGTTCTTTTCTATCCACTACACATGGATTGTCATCTGTGGCTTTTCCTTTTCCTTTGCTCTTGGACTCCCATTCTGCAATGCGAGCTTCTAACTTTTCAGTCCTGAGTTTTATAACATCTAAGGCTTGATTAAAGAAGTCCTTTGCTTTGGTGTAATTTGGTTGTAAGCTGTAAGCCAGACCCATATTATAAGCTCTTTGGACACTGTTAAGGATAAAATTATTGTGATCTCTACTAAAACACACTGGTTTAATTCTGACAGTGTATTGAACAAAGGAAACGGTGTTCTTCTCAGGAACACACTTTATGAAATGTACTCAGTTAATTTACAGTCTTATAAGAAGGGCTAAGAGACAATGTTTTTGTAACAAGGTAACAAAGTAACCATGTAGACATGTCAGATCACGTGTACTAAAGGCATCCCCAGTCGAGTGTCGATTGATACCGTTGACTGACTTTCCATCAACACTCAATCAATATCTTGATCAACATCTCGATTGATACTCGGTTGCCACTAGGTTGACACTCAATCAACATCTCGATCGACACCCAATCAACACTCAATCAAGTGTCAGTCAATATACAACCAAGTGTTAACTGACTCGTGTATCGATCAACATTCGAGCACTTAAGGTATCGTGGTGGTGAAGATTACACATGTTGATGGTTCCAAGAGCTGTGCCAGTTGGGATTTTCGCATCCAATTGTTTCAAATATGACAGAGAGAGTGGCCTTAGGAGAGCCCAGCCCTCCAGGTTTGGGGTTTTGTTTGGGATTTATTCTCCCATTTTCTAGTCTCTGTGGACAAAATACTTTGACTACAGAAATGGGAAACGATCTCAGTCAGTAAACTGGCGGTAACTCAATGACCTGCTGTGCTTGAAAAGAAGATTTCACTGTATGGGAGGACAGAGGCATTATGACTATGGGTCAAAGCAGATAGGAAGCACCAATCACAGGGGTTATCACTAAGTGCCGGCTGCCAGCGAAATTCACCAGCTGAGAAAGAGGTGATCACCAGCTGGATTTTGCTGGGCGATCACTCGGTAAAACACAATGAATAGTTTGTAGGTTGCAAACATGCAATGATTCAATATCTGAACCATATCAAACCATCCAAATGAAAAGTTTGGAAAATTCATGACTACCTTGAGTATCGGTGCCACTATACCAAGTAATTGAAATAAAATCTTGTTTTGAGCACTTGTTTAGCGTGTTCTCTTTCTGTATACTGCATCCGCCATTTTGTAAACACGAAGCTTGGTAGCCCTGCATTCAAAATGTTGCACAAGATTGGGGATGAAAATTTTGTTCCAGGTCTCTTGCGAAAATGGTGAGTGGCTCAATGAAACTCTTAGCCAGGAGACCAATTTCTTAGCTATAACCCTGCAACTGGTTATGGTCATTGGGAATGCCTAACCAAAATGGAGGGTGTATGTGGAGTGCTGGGAAGTACACTTTTTCCCACCCTGTTCTGGACCTTGGGAGAAGGAGCTGATGAAGAAGACAAGGGATATTCCTCGGTTTACTATTGTAACATCAACAAATATTGTAAATAAGGATACGTTTCTGCGATAAGTCTGTCATCGGGTTGTAAATGCTTCAGTTGAAGATCAAGACACTTTTGAAACTCCTCTGCTGCTGTCCCAAATTGTTCTGGAATCAAAAGTCAGCCACATGTATAAGTTAGTGAGCAGTTTACCAGTGTCAATCCAAACAGGCTTGTTAAGATAAAAAGTAGATCCTTGCTTGTCTGTATAGAGACAACATTAACTACTAGAACATTGCCAAGGTCAGTAGAGCCTTGAATAACTCATTTCACTTTACCAGAGGGAGGCACGGTGGCCTCATGGTCAGTGCGCTCGTTTCCGGATCGAGCAGTCTGGGTTCGAGCCCTGGCTGAGGACATTGTGTTGTGTTCTTGGGCAAGACACTTTACCCTCACAGTGCCTCTCTCCACCCAGGCGTATAAACGGGTACCGGCGAACTTAATGCTGGGGGTAACCCTGGGATGGACTAGCATCCCATCCAGGGGGGAGTAGAAATACTCATAGTCACTTCATGCTACAGAAACCAGGATAAGCTCCGCCCTGGTGGGTCACTTGGCTCGTATGCAGACTTAACCTTTTACCTTCCTTTACCATGAGAGAGTTAGTTATTATAAGTGCTTTGTAAGCCCATAACCAGCATAAAGCCACTTGTTGTAACATTGTTGGTCTCCCATCCAGGGTTTTCATTAAGCATTTTCAGCAGGAAGGCAACTGGTTTTCACATTCAGACAAAACTTTTTAACTGGACTTCTTTAGAAGAAAAAAATTCCTAGATAGATGGTCAAGTCAGTCAGGCAAATCATCCCCACAGCCAGTCAATAGACCAATTTTGATATATTAAAATTCAGCCTAACCCAATAGACCTCAGCACGAGGCCCTGGGGAATAAACCCCACAAACTCTGTAGTTATTCCCCAGAGCCTTGTACTGAGGTCTATTGTTTTAGGCTGAATTCTAATATATCAAAATTGGTCTATTGCCTGGTGTCCAGCCCTAATATAAACCCCTGCCTACCCCTAATATTTTTCCAGGTTGCCCAGAACAACAGTTCCCCAGTGCCAAAATTCCTTTTGGGGGTGAGATATATAAAATTATCATATTTTCAAATTATTGAACAACAAATATTAAAAGGACATTTTGTCACAGCAGTTACCTTGCTCTAGTTGAATTTCTCCAAGTTTGAGGTAAACTTCTCCCAAGTTCAACTGAGACTCTTTGCTGTCTTGCCTAAAAATGCACCAGACAACCTTAATCACTGGTTATCAGACAAATAATAATAAAGAATAATTACCAAAACAGAACAGAATTTTATTATCAGCTGTCTAATGCATAATTACCAGTAGAGAGAAGGGTTGATGATTGGTAAAATCCAATACAACAAAACAACAAATTTTGACTCATCACAAAAAATTCTGAGATTTCAAAATCAAATCAAAAGTTTCTGACCAATGATTTTCCAGGTGCCATTTGCCATCCCTAACAGAGCTATGTTTGAAACCAGTTATGAATTGCATATCCTTAGCTTTGAGAATATTCATTAAACATTCCCTTTTCCCTGGGTTTTAAAATATTCATCAAACATTCTCTAAAAACTACTCGTTGAGTAGTTGTACAGCAAGTACTACAATAAGCCATATTGTTATGGGGGTACTGGGGCTAAGATTGTATGTAAACAACTGTGTTAATATTATTGAGCTATTTTTAAAAGCTTTGCCTTTTCAATATACCACATGAAACACTTTTTTCCAAAGCAGATTTGTGTGGGCTTAACTAATATATCCATGCCATACTACGTTATTGGGACCGTAACAGCATCTGCAAGACAGGGCATTTCTGAATGGCCTTAGGTGTCCTGTGGGGCACGATAAAGGATGAGAGAGATACTAAGTTAACTATTGTAACTTTTAACTTGAATGAAGAAGATGATTTCCATTTGCTTTCATTTTGCATTACTACACTAAGCAATGGGTTAAAAAGCTTGCCTGTGCCACTTTGTCATCAAATCAGAAGTAACACCAAAACAAAATTTATCATATATCACTCGCGCACATTAACCCTGGCTTCATGTTAGCTAAAAGTATTTTATTTAATTTTTCTTTGTGATTGGCCCATGGCTACTTTAGTCTTGGCTTTAGAATACTTAATATTGAAAGCCACTTACTACAATTATCAGTTGAGTAAGGTGGGACAAAAGTTTGGTCACCAAGTTTTAATGTAAAAATCGTGTTGTTGTCATGAGCAACTGGCTCGGTATCCATTGGCAACTTGTCGGCCTTTGACGTCATTGGTGGCAAAGTGCGCAAAATTGTAGGCGACGCGACAGGCTACCAACAGCAGTTGATATATTGTTACCAATGGAAATGAGGTAAGTTGCCTGTGACAACACCATAATTTTAAGGCCAAAACTTCGTAACCAAACTTCCCTCGTGCCTTACTCAACTGATAATCGTAGTACTTCCTGGCTGGAGTTGTGTTTATGAGAGTTCTGTGAGAGAGACGTTTGTTTTGCATTCACATTTTACTCTAGCTTGTGAGATCTAGCCCTATCCTCTGTTTAACTGTAATAAAAGTTTTTAATGTCATCTAAATGATAAGGTAAGTGCAAACCTTAAAAATATAAGGCGGGCCAGTTCCAGAAATTCCCAGGCCAGCTGCATAGTTGGAACATCTGCATCCTCATCCTGATTCAAAAATTATTCAGCCATTTAAATAATACACCCCACACATGTAGCGACAAGCTCAATACAAAGGAAATCAAAATCAATACAAAATGCTTTTTTGGATATACCTCTTGTCCCTCTGCAGCAGCGCCTTCGGCATTATCTTCTCCCTGATCATCATCTGCATTACCTTCTTCCTCATCCTCCCCTTCTTCTTCCTCCATCGCCTCATCTTCGCCCTCCTCTTCTTCACCCTCCTTTGCCTCTATTTCACCCTCCTTCTCTCCTTCTTCAGCCTCTTTCCCTTCTCCTTCAGCCCCCTTTCCTCCTTCTTTGGCCTCTCCCCCTCCTTCTTTGTCTACAGCCACCTCTTTTTTACCCTTGTTTTCCTCTTTTTCACCTTCTTTCTCTCCTTCTTTTTCCTTATTCTTCTCTTCTGCTGTTTTTTCTGTCGATGCTGTATCCTCTGATTTTGCTCCACTTTCTGCTTCATTTTCATTTTTTGCTTCCTCACCCTCGTCTTGCTTGTCTCCCTTGTTAGTATCTTGATCTTTGCCTTCCTTATCTTTCTCCCCAGAATCTGCTTTTGGAGTCAAAAAAAAAAATGATAATACCGGTAATTAACTTTGCAGCTTCATGCCCTACAACACAATATAGACAAGTGAACTGCTATTTGAGGGATCTACAAACCACAACATTTGTCGTTAAAGCTGGTATATACATGTATAGCACAACACGGTATTCAATTTTTGTCAGCAATTCTCATTTACTTTTCTGTTTATAATTTTTCAGATGAGTTTTGTGTAGTTTACCTTCCTCTTCCTCTGCCATAGCATCATGGACATCATCTCTGATCTTCTCCTTAGTGCTAGGACTCATTTCTTTAATCTTTGGACCAACTATAACAGTTCAAACTTGCTTTAGACAACTATAACCATCACCAGTCACTCACCATCAGTAAAACTAACAGAATAATATTATTAAGAGCTACAGCTGTGAAGCATCACTCTTCAATAAAGGTAGTAAAATTACCTGTTCCCATCTTTTCCTCATCTTCATCACTGCTTTCTCCACTTTTTGGTTCAACTGTAGTTCAACATTGGAAACAAAAATATTATGATTTAAAATAATAGTTTTTCTGAAATTTTCAGAACCTCTCATGTTCACATATAAAAGAAATAAAGTAAAACTTGTTCTACACGGGACTTTTCCGAGGTTAAAATGTTTTTAAAAGGCGACGTTTTGGACAATTTTATTGCTCCTCTTTAGGCACTGTAGTTCTATCTCAATATGGTGGACTTTGTTGTCATTTTGCACCAGCAGTCTCAGTTGTTTTGTTGACCGATGAACACCTGCAGTCAATAGATTTTCTCAGTGAAAAGTGCTACCCACTTATCAGGGCAGGAGAAAAAATGTTGAAATCCAGTTACCCAGTCAGCCGGTACACTTCAGTTTTCGGATGTCCCCACTAAAATATCACTTGCCCAATAGGTATGCAATGTTCATGGCTTATCAACTTCATCATTTACTGGGTGATTAGATAATTACTGTCTACAATCAGTGATAGACTATAACAAAATGAGTCTACTGGTACTAAACTTCATGAAAGATACTGAACAGTGTCGACAAATGCTGTGCCAGATACAGGCTAACTATTTCTAATAGCAATTGGAGGACGTTGCAAGCCAAGTATGCTTGTATTTTAAATTAATCCATGCTTTCAACTCATTGTTTTGCTCATCTTGCAGTCCTAAGTTTTGAAATTGTTTTGATTGAAAATTATCACTAACAAGACTACTGAGGCTACTTTGTCTTGCCCACCAGACCACCAAACTCCTATTTTCATTTACCCAAGAGCAAAATTTACTTGCCATGGGCAATTGGACCTGGGTTTTTTCTGACCTGCTTCTACTTCTGATTGGAAACAGGTGCTATGTATTAAGAGTTAAGTGTATTGATCAAAGATGCAAAACAAAAACCCCAGTTAAGACTTGAACTCTGACTGCTCTATCTGGTACTTATAAACCACCACATATACAGTTTTGAATTAACATTTTCAAGGATATATATAATAAATACAGTGGAATCCCAATTTTTCAAACCTCAAAGGAAAACGAAAATTGGTTCGAAAAATCGATAGTTCAAGAAATCAGGGGTAAAATTACAGTGTTTGACTGAGGAGAGGGAAATGACTTTTGGTTCGAGTTATTGGGAGGTTCGAAAAATTGAGGGTTCAAGAAATCAGGATTCCACTGTATTGTCATGCCATTGTGCATGTGATTAATCACAGCTACATAAACATACCATCTTTTAGTGCATTTCCAAGAACACCATTTTCTGTTCTGTAATGAAAAAAAAAAAGCCAGTCTCTTTGAGAACTACTTTTGTGAACATTCTGACTTGAAACAGGTGTAGTTATTACAGATATTAACTAAATATAATAGAATAGAGACCTACAGATCAATCAGTAGTAACAGAAACATCAAGGATTTAAGAAACTGGACACAAGAAATACAGAAAGATGGCATATACAACTGCAAAAATAAAACCCTGCAAAAATCCTGTGCTTTGTGTA